CCCCACTAGGGCTGCCCAGTGGGCTCCTGCCGGCCCTGGGGGAGGGAGCCCGGGTCGGGCGGGCTGCGGGGGGCCAGAGGCCAGCCCTGGGGGAGGGAGCCCCGGACGCGCGGGCCGCGCGCGAGGCTCCTCCGGCTGCGCGGGGGCCAGAGGCGAGGCTCCTCCGGCTCCGCGCTGTGTGGAACACCAACAGCCGCCTGCTCCACGCGGGAGGAACGGCCTCTGGAAGCCGCAGCCACAGGAATGTGGGCCAGTGGGGCGCGGGCTGCTGCGAGGGGTCCGCCCCAGGGCAGTGGAGCGCCCCAGAGGAGGGTGCGAGAAGCCCAGCGGCTCCCTCCCCCCATGCTCCCCCTGCCCGGTTCGGCTCCCCCCTTTCCTGGATCCCTGCGCTGAGGCCGGCTCCAGGCGAGCCCCTCGCTGCACCTGGGACTGGGCTCCCAGGCCGGCCTCGCACACCCGGACGCTGCGGGGGCTCGGCGGGGCGGGGGTGTGGGCCGGGGGCGCCCAGCAGTAGCAGGGCGCACGCTCCCCACCCCCCAGTCCTGGGACACCAGGCTTTGGGGTGCAACTGAAAGAAGGCGTCGTGAGGGGGGGTGCACTGCCGTCCTTACGGGCAGACCCCAGATGTCTACTCTCGCAGAGGTCTGTCCAGTGGGGACAAGAGCAGCGGGTCTGGGGCCTCCTTCTGATTCCCGATGTCCTTTCAAAGGGGTAGCGGGTGGACAGGCAGACGGCCCTGCGGCCGGGCTGGGGCCTCTTCCTCATCCGGGTCGGGCACCCGGACTGGGCTGGCTGGAGGGTGGGCGGCTGCCGCCCTCACCCGCCTGCGAGCGGCCTCCTCACAGGGCCCCGCCAGGGAGGCTCCTCTCCCTGCTCCAGCCAGCGTCTGGGGCTGGCCCCGTTGCTGGACGGCATGGCCAGCCGGCGCTGGGGCGTCTCCAGAGCCGCTTCACAACCAAGATTCACCCCTGACTGGACCGCCCAGCCGCCCCAGGCCAGGCCCAGGATGGGGTCCCCGTGGGCCGGGCCCCTGGGCTGCCTGACCACCAGGGCCGAGAGCGGGCGGAGGGGGAGGGGCCGGCTGCCGCTGCAGGTTTCATTTAAGTGACTGTTTACTCTAATTTTGAATAAAAATGGAATTTGTCACTATAGCAACCGCCACCTCACAGGGCACCTCTTCTGCCTCAATTCACAGGAAAACATTCAAAGACACCGGCGAGTCCTGGGGACCCCTGGCTGCTGTGTTCCAGGAGGGGGACCCCTCGCGCCACGCGGGCCCGGGAAGGGGCCGGAGGGGCCCCTGGGGCGCCCTGGCTGCTGAGGACCCGCCTCACCCCAGGGCTCCAGCAGCTGCGGCAAACTGTGATGTCATTTCAGGCGGCTTCTGCCATTTAAACACAAATTAAGAAGATTTACAAGTAAAAGGGCATTTCTTGGCAGCAGTTTTGTATTTAAGGGGAAAAAAATTAGGATTTCTCTGTCAATAAACGCAGATTAGAATCAAATAAGGCGAAAGGCTCCAGCGGAGGTGGGGTGACCGGCTGGACAAGCGGAGGTGGGGTGACCGGCTGGACAAGCGGCGGCCACACCCCAGGCCGGCCGCGGTAGGGGAGCCCTGTCCTCTGGGGCTTGTGCTGCTGGGGTCCCGCTGGTGTCGGCGCCAGCACCCTGGACCAGAGGCCCCCGGTGCGCGGAAGACCAGGCCGGAGCGCCAGCGACGTCCCGAAACCTGCATCTGGTTGTGACGTTAGTTTTCCTTTATAGGAAATGTGATCTTATTAATTTGACAAAATGCAAACTCTTTTTAAGGTATCAGAAATTAGAGGGGCCTCCCTCGGGGCGCAGGGGTTAAGACGCAGCCTGCGAGGCTGTCCTCAGCCTCTGCAGCACGAGTTCGATCCCCGGCCAGTTCGATCCCCGGCCAGTTCCATCCCACAGGGCGCAGCAGACCCCGCCTGTCTCCCCGCTGCTCCCTCAGCGGTGTGTCTCAGTCCGTCTGCCTGTTCTGCTCCCCGCTCTGTCTCTGGGGAAGCCCTCACCCCCACACCTTTGGCCTGTACCCCCGTTCCTGTATGCATAAATAAATAAATCTTTTAAAAAATATCAGAAATTAGATTTTGAAATCCATCAAAATACCACCAATCTATCACGAGTGTGCGCGCACTGTAATCTGTTCATTTCCTTTAAATTTTGTTTTGCGATATTTCCATTTGGCTTAAAAGGTTTTAATTCCGCTATCTGCCATCACACGCGGGAATCAGCGCCAGGGAGGCTCCAGCGCCGCTAGATTTCCCGTAATCAGACCCACTTCACACTCCCGAGTCAGGAATTAGCAGGATGTTCACATCAAATATTTTTTTAAAAAATCAGATTCATCAAAATCAGGCTTAATACCGCACAAGGCAATTAAAAATCGGAGATATCATCTGATGTAAAAAACCCCTCCACTTGCCCCAGTATCTCCCATTTTCACTATTCAAAATCCTCTCCAGACACACCCTCCCCGGCCAACGCGGCCCTCGATGGCGGTGCGGAGGCGAAGGTCAGGTGCGAGTGCCTGCCGGGAGTGTCCACCAGCCGCGCCAGCGGTGACCCTCTGCTCTCTGGGCAGGGAGCTGCCAGCGGAGGACTGGGCGCGGGTGTCCAGGTACCCGCGGGCCAAGGACGCGCCTGGAGCCCACCACGGAGACAAGAGACGGTGCCAGGAGCCCAAGCAGGAGGCTCTGGAGGATGAAACGTGGTCTGGGGCTGGGCCGGTTTCCGCCCTTGGAGGTGAGGTCACGCTCCTCGGGGTCAGCGAGGCGGCAGACCGGACACATGTGAAGGGAGGCCCAGGCCACGGGAGGGCCTGCCTCGTCCCCGGGGCCCCCGCCCCGCGAGGCCATCACGCCTGCTGCTGGCCGGGCGGGGGCTGGGGTGTCCAGGTCAGGCTGAGAACAGTTCCTTCAAGGCTCTAATAGTCACCCGCACCAAGAGTCTCTGCAATTCTACTCCCCAGGAGGCAGGCCCGGACGGCCAGTCCAGTCCTGGAGGACCTGGACCAACTCGCGGTGACGACACTTGTATGGGGGAGCCCGGGGCAGAAGCAGGCTCTGGCCCGAGCCCCTGCTGTGCCCCGCTGCCTGGAGACCTGTCCCCAGCTGTGCAGACGGAGAAACCCGGCCCCGGACTGGGTCAGGGCTGGGATCACGCGTGTAGACAATAACCCCGGCGGCCGAAGGAAACCCCTCGAGGGCGCGAGGGAACGGCCTCGGGGCCCGTGGAGAGGCAGCGTCAGAGGTGCTGACTCGCATCCGGAGAGGAGATGGGTCAGCAAATGCTGCGGCAAAGTGGCCGCCGGTTTGGTGACCGCGAGGTCACTGATGACGCAGACGGGCGGTGGGGGCCACATCCCGATGGGGGTTTGGGGAGAAGAAAGGTGGATTTGAAAATTCACTAAAGAACTTCTTTTCTAGAAATGAAAAACACCGTAGTCGAGATAAAGCACGTGTGGCCGCTACGGATGCGCGCGGAGAGAGGCCTGGGGGCAACCCGGGGGGGGGGGGGGTGGCCCGCGGCGCGGCGCTCGGGGCAGGAGGCTGGAGTGGTGACACGCGGTGAGAAGGCCCGACACGGGTCACTGGAGCCCCGCCCGACACCGGCGCAGGGCGTGGCGGGGGATCTAGGGGTGCTCGGCGCGCAGGCCTTGTCCATCTGACCCATCAGTGAGTCCCCGCAGCAACCCTCTTGGTGGACGCCGGCATCGCCCCCACTTGACAGAGAAGTTGGTGGCGAGAGGCCGAGAAATCGGAGTGCGGCGCTGGCAGAGGGGACCCCGCGGCACTGAGGAGGGTGGCGGCCGAAGGGGCACGTGGGGGCTGAGGAGGATTTAAAAGGCCCGGGTCCCTGATGGGCGGGAGGTGAGAAGTTGCAGAGGTGAAGCGGGCACAGGGGCTGGGAAGACGGGGCACCGTGACCCTCACAGCTCTGCCAGGGTGGGCGCGCCAAGCCCCCGAGCTGCGGGGACAGACCCCGTCGGGCGGAGCTGCTGCTGCGCGTGCTTGGGCTTGTGACGCCCGGAAGCAAAGTTGAGGGGGCACCTGTGGCAGCGGCCCCGGCGCCACATCCTGCCTCGCCCGGAGCGGAGGCGGACGGCCACGCCAGGCTGTCCCCCCACACGCCATGGCTCTGCCTTCCCCCGGGCAGCGCCTGCTCCGTTTCCAAAGACGCAAACGTCCCCAGTGAGGGCCGACGGCTGCAGGGGGACTCTGACCGAAGGACAGGATGCCCTGCCCTGGGCCAGCGGGTCTGCTCCAGGCCCCTGGCACTCCGCTCCTCCCCCCGGAGAAGACCAGGACAGCGTCGGCCTGGCTGCTGCCCCGTGCCCGCCCAGCCCGGCCCACAGGCCCCTCCTCCCCGAGCAGCAAGCCAGGCAGCTCTCCCTTCGAGAGGCCACGGCCGCTGACAGAACGTTTGCCCAGAGAAGCGGCGGTCTGGAGGGCTGGGCAAGCACCGCTGCCCCCGCGCGCAGCTCTCGGCTCCTCACCGCCGGTGCCCGGGGGGACGGTGGCCACCGAGCGGCAGGCCCGTGCACCCTGAGGAGCCCCGTCTGGCCCAGTCCCGTGCTTGTCCCCACGGGGGCGGCACAGCCGGCGACTGCTGCCCCGGGGCTCGCTCCAGTGCCCGCCCACCGACCTGCGAGGCTGGCCACGACTGCGACCAGGCGGCTGAAACGGACGGCGCGTCCTCTCCTGCCCGCACCCCGCGTCTGCCCATGGACGCAGCACCAGGCGCTCCCGCCACCCCTCGGGGCTCCGTGGTGACCCAGCATCTGAGGAGGGACACGCGCTCTGCTCCGTGGCTGCTGCTTGTAGGGGGACCCCAGTCGCGATTCCAGGGTCGGCACCTCCACCCAGGGCAGGGCCCGGCCTCCCCACGGGTCAGGCCGGCTCAGCGGGGAGCCCGCACGTGGTCACCGTCCCCACACGCCGCGCAGGCCCTCGCGGGCCCTCAGGACTCACCGGCCCGGCTCCCGCCTGGAGGATTTTCAGCCCCGAGGCTTTCTCCAGCGCGTCCTTGTTGGCAGCTGTCGGGAGAGAGGCAGAGAGGGTCAGAGGGGCAGTTCCCGCACGCGCGCACTCGCCTCGGGAGGCTCTTGTCCCGCCATCCCGGCACCGCCGGGCGCACCGGCTGGGCCCTCGGCCTGTCCGCGGGGTCTTCCTCGGAAACGATGTGATGCGTGTCAGCTACGTAGTCGCCGGGAAACCGACCCACCAACCTCCTTCCACGGTCCCGAGAACGGCTCACAAGAGGCACCCTGAGGTGCCCGACCCCTTCAGCCCGGAGCTGGCGTATCCGCTCATCCAGCCCTGCCGGGAGCACCCAGCTCCGCGCCCTCCCAGCGGCCGGCTTGGAGCGAGGGCGCCAGCGCGGGCCCGCCACACGACGCGGCAGCGACGGCCGTGACGACAGTTGGCAGGGGTGAGTGGAGACGCGGCCGGCGGACACGCCGCAGACACCCGCCCCACGGCCGCGCCAGGGGTCACAGAGCAATTGCCTTTGGCTTATGCTGCTGCAGAAATAGTCTTTTGGGGAAAGCCCCTGCCATTTTGGAGATGAAAATCAGGAAAACATGGATCTCACTGCAAAGGCTGGAGGAAGAGGCGCGCGGCCGCGACGGCGCAGGACAGGACGGCGGGCAGCAGGCCTGGGGCTGGGCGGCCTGACACCCTCGGCCGCTCAGGCAAGAGACGGCGCTGTGAGTGGGGCTCAGCCCGGCTGCCAGGCTGGCAACTGCCTCGGGCCCTGCTGTCTGGGAGAGACTGTGCCTTTCAGCCAAACCCCACTTGACACGCGTGTGACCCGGGGTCAGCAGAGAGCCCCGGAAGATGCCTGGGCCGGAGGGCGGCGGCCGGGGCAGTCGCACGCGAGGCTGCCCCCACACAATGGCAGCACACTCAGTGGCAGGCAGCTGGGGGTGGCAGCTGGTGAGCCTTGGCAAAGGCTGGGGATCAGAGGGCACCTAGAAACGACTCCATGTGTGGCGCAGAGCAGCACCGCCACCTCCGGCTCGGGGGCGAAGGGACCCCCCAGAGCCACGGCAGAGCATCCAGCGGTAGCCCGCGGCCCTCAAGGGCAGGTGGGAGGCACGGCCGGGGGGGCTGGGGTGAGGGGCCAGCCATGCGGAGTGACTGGGCGCGGATGGAGAGAGCTCACGCAGGGGCGGCCCCGCCTGGAACGTGCCGCTGTGTGCGCGGCTCAGTGCTCCTAGCTGGGCAGTGGTGGATCTCAGAGCGCCTGGACACTCGGCGGAAGCCTGAGCTCTGGGAGCAGCGGCGCCCGCCCGGCCCCTGCCCCCGGTCCCCCCGCGGCCTGGCGCCCCAGCCCCTCCCTGTCCGGTGCCCGCCCCGCCCCGCTCCGCGAGCGTGGACGCCCCCTGGCTCCCAGCCCCGCACGCTTGCAGGTGCTTTGCGGGAGGACCACGCATCCTCCCTTCTCCTGGGACACTTCCCACGATGCTTCCAGCACGACCCAGAAACTTCTGGAAGGGCGCTGGTGCAGACACCTGCCTGGAAGAGTGGTCTCCCCCAGGACAGCAGCAGGGACAGCTCCTGCGGGGGGCCTGCTCTACAAGCCGGCGCCGTGCCCCTGGCGTGGGGGCTCCCCCTGCCGCTCCGTGACCAGGCACTGCCTGGTGGCCCCTCCCGCTCCTGCGCCCAGTCAGCTGGCGCCCGCCCAAGCACAGGGCACGGCCCAGGGCACGGACCCGCCCGCCAATCCCGCTGGACCCACGCTGGGCCAGCCGGGCTCCAGGCTGGCGTCCACCCTGCCACATCTGCCCAACGTCCAGGCGCTTTCTCCCGCAAAGTGGGAGGCTGGTCTGCGCCCCTCGAGCTACCAGGACGGCCCTGCGCAGCCCTGGCCCCGCCGTCAGTGTCCAGGCTCGCGGCCGGCCCGAGGCCCGTGTGGGCGGACAGCGTCGTGGGCACTGCTGGCCGACAGTAACGACAGGCGGGGAGAAGCTAACGTCAGCTCCAACTGCCAAGTCATTTTTCAAATTATTTTAATTAGATATTGTTTCAGTCTCACTCACATTAACTTAACACCTGATATCAACATTTCAGTTTTCAATTTGTTCAAACGACTCTCCCCGTGTGCCGGCTGCCTGGAGTAACTGAAAACACAATGTTTCTCTTCAGCACCCTCGGCTTGTGGGTCCCGGGGACGTGGACATCTGCGTCCTCGCTGTCCACCCCCAGACTCTGCGGGGGCAGGCGGAGCAGGGCTGGGCGCACACGGTGGGCGGCCGCCCCAGGGCCGCGGCACCTGACACCAGCCGGCTCCTCGCCACCGCGCGCCCGACAACTCGCAGCCACAGGCCAGGCCCCACGAGCTGCTTCCAGGCGCACCGAGGCGCAGGCTCCAAGTCTTGCTGCATTTTGCCTTTGGGTTTTCCGGCTGCTGCCACAGGCACTGGTGGGACGTCAAGACAAACAAGCGACCACCGGGACCCACACCGCCCGGGGCCAGGCCCGCTCGGGCTGCGAGCTGGCCACCAGAGCAACGCCCGGGTCTGAGGGCCCTACAGGCTCAGCACAGGGCCTCTGCCCTCCAGCCCGGGGGCGGGACGCCTGCGGCCCAGGAGAGGTGTGGAGAGAGGGTGGGCAGCGCAGCTGGGAGTGGCGGGTGGGGGGGCTGCGCTGGCCGTCCGTGGTCCGATGTGGCTCCTGCCGAGTCCGCCGCTGGAGCAGAGCCTTGGGGCTCGACCGTGGGGACTGCCGGCCACCAAGGGACCAGGCAGGGCCTGGTGTTGGCGCAGAGGCAGAGCCTGATTTCTGCGTGACCGTTACAGTGAACTGGCCGGAAGCTGTCGCTACGGACGACGGGGCACGTCTGGGTCACTGTCTACTAAACCAGCAGATGCAAACGAAGGGCCGGCCGAGCCTGTGTGCCCAGGGCTGGCCGGCCAGTGCAGGAGAGCCAGGCGCCGGCGGGCGAGGGCCCCACCCAGGGAGGGGACCCCCAGGAGGCAGGGGTCAGCCTGTGGAGCCCTCAGGCTGCGCTGGAGCCTCCCACTGGGGTGCCAGGAGGCTGATTAGGGGCAAGCAGTTTGCTTAGAGGGGCCATGGCCGCCCATGGGGACAGACAGGCCTGAGAAGGGACGGATGCAGAGACTCAGCGGCAAAAGATGAGACTCTGTGGGCTCTGGAGCAAAGTGCGCGCTGCGCCCCACAGGCCTCTGTATTTCCAATGAGCAAAGATAACACAGGCGGGGTCTCTGATGGGGCTAGGGGGTCGGGGGGGGCCGGTCCCGGCCCTTTGGCATGGCCTTGTAGACAGAGTGGGCGCTGTCGGGTTGCAACCCCTAAATCACTCAGCGAAATACCTGTCTCGCCCTTTCATTGTGTAAGTCAAAAGTCACCCCCCAGCCCCAGGCATGAGCCATGACCTCGGCAGAGCAGCAAGGCCCCGGCAGGGCTGCCCCCGGCAGAGGCAACAGGCGGCGGCCAAGCACAGAGGGGCGTCCAGCGTGGACCTCGCCCCTCACAAGTGCCCAGCAGTGCTGCACCCGCATGGGGAATAAACAACTTCTAGAAGACCAGGCGAGAGACCCCACCCTAACCCCCAAGCTCCGAAACCCCGACCCCAACCCCAACTCTGACCCTAAACGCCCCCCACCCCTGCAGCTGAGCCCTCCTCGGCTGGCCGCCGGATTCTGTGCCGGTCCCCGCCCCTCCTCGGAGCCGCTTCTTGCTGCCTCCGTGCCCCACGCCCTTCCAGCATGGCCGGGGGATGGCGGGAGCAGAGCCCAGGGGCAGGCGGGGTCTGCGGGGAGCCCACAGGTCCAGGGGCACGTGCCAACGGGCAACAGGCATCCCCACGACTGGCCCAGAGTGACCTGTGGACAGGCAGACGCTCTCTCGGGACGTTAGGTCTTGTCCCCCTGATGTCCACATTGCCCGCTCACGTGAGGAGGCAAAGGGCCAGCCGGCTGCCTGCTGCCCGGAGCAGGCTCAGCTCCTCAGGGGCCTGGGCTCCACGGCCACCTCCCAGCTCAGAGGACACCACTTTGTCCTAACTGCCGGAGGACCTTTGGGGGGTCACCCAGACAGAAAAGGAGGGGGCGCTCTTCACCCTGGAGCCAGGTCAGGGCACGTTTATTAAACATTCTGTGTCGTCCAGTTATTGTTTCTGCTCCACTTTCTTTTAAATAAACTACAAGGGTCTCCCTGGGGGTGCAAGGGATGAAGACGCAGCCTGTGAAGCATCTGCAGCCTCTGCAGCACGAGTTCCGTCCCCGGCCAGGGAGCTGCCCACAGGGCGCAGCAGACCCCTCCTGTCTCCCCGCTGCTCCCCTCAGCAGTGGATCTCAGTGGATCCGCCTGTTCTTTCTCTCTTTTTTTTTAAGCATTTTTTTATTTTATTTTTTCAAAAGATTTATTTATTCATGCATACAAGAACTGGGGTACAGGCCAGGGGAGCAGGAGGGTGAGAGGATTCAACAGAGCCAGAGCGGGGAGCAGAACAGGCAGACTGACAAAATACACTGCTGAGGGGAGCAGCGGGCGGCAGGGGGGGTCTGCCTGCCATGTGGGGCCCTCGCCAGCCCACTGGGATCGATCGAGCCGGCGCTGCAGAGGCTGCGGGCAGCTACACAGCGCTGCGCTCAACCACCTGCGCCACCAGGGGAGGCCCTGGATCCTTCTGTTCTGCTCCCCACTCTGTCTGGTGAATCTTCTCACCCCGCCTCCCCACACCTCTGGCCTGTACCCCAGTTCTTGTATGCATAAATAAGTAAAACTTAAAAAAAACAAAATGAACCACAAGAGCAAGGCATCAGACTAACAGAGCTAAAGTTTTAAAACGAGACTCGGGCTCTCTCCTTGGCTTTCCCGGGCCCTTCGTCCACCTGTGCATCCTGCCGGCCGGGGTGGGAGCTGAGGCCTTCGTGGGGTGCTCTAGCAGGTGCTCGTGGCGCCCTCTGGAGGCCGGCAGCGGAGGCTGGTTTTCCCACGGAGGCCCAGCCCCTGGGGCCTGCAGGTCAGAGGGAAGCGCCAGCACAAGGCGGAGGCCCGCAGGCAGAGG